GACTAACCCATAACAGATATGGATTTCTACATTTATCCTCTTTCCACGCTGTGCACAAAACGTTTCTATTTCAGCGAGTTAGAGGCCACGGGGGCAGGGAGCTTTATCGATCATCTGACTTCTAATGCCTCTTAAATATAAGGATTCATGTGTGAGTGACCTTTGTGTTTGGATTTAACACACAGCCAACAATCCCTCCTTTTCGAATATCCTTTCAAGCATGTCTGGCTTCATTACAAACTGTAGTTTTAATTCTTTTTAGCTTTTTGAACAGATCGTGCCAGGCATCATGTGTTTTCTATAAAGGAATCGGGATTTGTTTGAATCGTAGAACGGAAAGGTGATGAGAGGATGCTTTGAGTTATTCTGCTCATTGGAGAGATAAACACAGCACAAGAAAAGAGAAAGTCTATGACAAGTGGGCCATACTGACTATTAACACTTTTTCCACAGTCCACCCACTGCCACTCATTCTCATGTCTCACACATACACACAACCATGTACCTGGAAGATGGCCCAGTGATTGATGACTGTCTGTGAGAATACAGAGGCTGCAACTCCACAGAAAGATGGACAACTGAAGCACAAGGAGGAGGGGCTCAAAAAGGAAATGGCACATTCAGGGGCGTTGCTAGGCACAAAGCTTTACTGGGGCACTGGCCCCCTACCGCATATGCCCCTCCTTCCATACATAAATACAGACAAGCACACTGCCCAACCCTGATACATTCCTACCAAAATTACCAGTTGAGATATTAATGAGTATAAGAGCATATTTGTTTTAACAAACATGAACATTTTCAACATTGCAGCTATAAAAAATAAGACATCAACAACTTTGACAAATAAAAAGTTTCCTTATACACATTCTGAAGTAATCATTAATTCCTAGGTTACAGAGTTTTAGTTCGGGGGAAATTTTAACTCGTCCTGAGCTAAGTTTTCCTTTTATTTTTTTAACATTAAAGTGTACCTCATATTTATCATTTTTGCAAAGTGGTCAATCACTTGTGACTCAGCTTAGAAAGTTCTTCCTTTTCAACTGATAAAATAGCAGGATGATGGAGCCTGTCTTGTCCCATTGTGCACCTCAGCCAAGTGTGGAGCCTTCTCAACACACTGAAAGACCTTTCACAACTCCAGCTGTAGACTGGGATTGTGAGGGAGATCTGGATGACCTGCGTTAGTGTTGGGAATATGATGTTATCAAGCAAGTTGAAAACACACTGCATATCCTTGATAACAAGGCTTTCTTTTTTAACCAGGAAAAGCTCAAACCATTTTGAATTAAATTAATGTTTTTTTACTCCAAATTTGTGCTGGGGATGGTGGGACAACTTCACTTGTTTAGGACCATCATGCTTTCCCCCTAAGTCACTAATGTCCCCTTCTTGTTTGTGGAAGCTGGTTGTTGCATCCTCATCACCTTCATGGTCCTGTCTCTCCTGTCCTTCACCTGTCTCTTGCCTGTCAGTCTCGCCTCCTCCTCCCTTTCCTACTCCAGCACCTGCATTCTCATTCTCTACAGCAAACATAAAAAAAAACGTAAATTTATAATTATGTAAATATCTATCATATTACTTATAACGTTCCTAATGTAACTGGTTACATTAAATCACTAATTCATTACGGGACCTTACCTCCCTCTCTCATCTTGTTTTACTGATTCCCTGTCTCTGCTTCGTGTGAGGAATTTCCTGATATCCATCTACAAACCAATGCAGTAATTTTCAGTTAGTAGCCTATAAATCATCTGGTTTCACTGGGAAAATAATAAAATTGACAGGTAAGAAACATTACCAGAACTAAAAATGCGTCGTGGCCGCACAGTGTCCCATCCAACTCAGTTGAGAGCAGCGCGTTAATTTACCTGCAGTTCATGCAGTGACATGCGCTGACGTGGGGGCGCTAATACATCCTCAATTTGGAGTTAACAACACACTTGCTCCGCATTTGAGTAGAAATATACGTCTCCTCCCGTTAGAAATATCTAAATTGATGCATTAAAAAAATGTAATACTGTTGCAAATATTCATGAGATTTATACTGGGGCACAGCTCATTTATACTGGGGCACGTGCCCCAGTAAATGGGGTCTGGCGACGCCGATGGGCACATTGAGGTCGTCCTGCAGCTGTTAGTATGCTGGGCCACAGTCCTGCATTGTTAGGGTGAGGTGGAAGTTACCTTATAAAATAATTGAATTTACTTTATTTATATAATATCAATACACTAAATGTCATCTGAAGGCACTTTAAAGAGACAGCCCAATTAAATGAAACAAATTGTTGAAAATGTTTCTTTTGGAAATCCCAGCTGATTGAATAAAGTCAACCAGAATTGATGGAGGATTCATTCCTCCTGAATGAGCAGGTATTGAAAGAAGACTATCAGTTGCATTGTGTTGTTGGTTCTGTTGTAATCCATCACACCAAGCATGCATGCGGAGACAATGGAGAGGAAAAACTTCCTTTTAACAGTGAGAAACCTCCAGCAGAGCCAGGCACATTGTGGGTAGCCTTCAGCCAAGGTAGACTGGGGATTAACAGAGACAGAAGCAGACACATAAAAGGAACATAGAAGCACTGATCCATAAATACTTTCGTTGTTTAATGTAAACTAGTTCCATAGGTGGCTCTGTCAAGGAAAGAAGCAGTCAACAAGAAGAGTTCTGAGCTGGTTTCATGTCAAAAGAATGAAAGAGCACATAAAGTTTGTCATGGTAAAAGCTGAGCTCATAGCTATATCTACTGTTAATTTAAAACTTATCATCTATGCTGGAATTTGTGGATGGGAGCAGCCCAGCTGATGCCTCCTTCTAGAATGTGTCACAACTTAACGGAGTGCCAAGCCAGATGACACTACTATAACGAGAACAAGTATAGAGAACATAAATTTAGAATTTGAACTCATTAATAACGCAGAATTGGAGAAAAAAGCAGAATCTAGAAGAATATGGAAAAGTAGTCCCTATGTCCTCCAGCAGGCTCAGTGTATAGTAGCACAACTATAGAGATAGCTCATGATAACCTGAGCCACTGAGGGATTTTGACAGCTTTCGCTGTAATATTGTTTTTTTATTCCATGTCCCATTTTTTAAAGAAATACAGAAACAAAAAACAATTAAAAAACACTCATACCCTATGTGCACTTTCACCGTTTTTAAAATTTAATGTGATATATCAGGTATATCACACATTAAGGTGTGACAAACTAACCATATGTATTCCAAATTTTTTCAGTCTGATTTTCCCAAATTGTCATGTTGTTTGTACTTTTTTGACCCACATGCATAATCACATGGCAAATCAATGAGTTTTAATGTTTTATTTTCAAAAAGCAGCAAGAATCCGGAATCGGAGAACTGCAGGAAGTCAGTTAAACTTTCTGGTTGGTCTGAGGGAAGAAAGCAGACTGATCAGGAAGAAGTTGGTTGAAAACTGATGGATTTGCTTACTTGAGAGATGAAGGGGGGGTAGCATGGATCTGTGGGGGTTTGATTCAGTGGGCTTTTCAGACTGTACCCCAGAGGTCCAGAAGAATGTGAACAAGTTCCGAGAAAGGACAAGAAGGATATTTCTGGTTTAGGTCTTTGGCTTGAATACCATCAGGGGTAATCATCCGGTAAGGAGAAATGATCCTTCACCTCCTTCACCTCAATCAAGATGCTAGTCATCTTGATTGAGAAATTTTCAAAGGTTTGCAGCAAAACAGGTTGTCCAAGCAACATTTGTCTCTATAACAGACACAACAGAAAAACCCCAGAGACCCTTACATAAATGAATTCTACTGCAGCCAACTACTGTTAAATAAAACGCAAAACAATTAGACAAGGTCGTCAAAATAAAGGGTTGATATAAAATGTAATTTTGGTTTACTTTTTAATTCTTGAAAAATCTAGTAAAATTATACGTACATCTTTAAATGTAAATTCTTCTTAATTTGAATAATGTTTAAGCAGAAAGAAAATTAAGCAAGAATTTTACTTACATTTGCATTTAAAAAGGAATATTTACTGATTTAAAAAGCCTCTGAAATAATAAGAAATAGCAAACTAAAGATCAGACTTATTGTTTATTGAATTTACTCAGTATATGGGAATGTAATTGTAAAGTTAACGAGCCCACTGTTTTATAAGTGTATTTTTTCTTCCACTTACTGTTCCATTTTTACTAATGTAAACCTGATTTAATAAACAGCCACTTTGATAATCAATGGACCTTTGGGGCCTGCACCCCCTTCAGGGGGGTCATAGCTCAATGCTGGACATAAAACATTCTAATTATTTATCAAAAATAATTTGTTGTTGGTTTAAAATACCTTTAATTTGGAATTTTGTATTTTCTGAATGCCAAACTAATCTAAAATAAATAATTCTGATTTCTATAGTGTTTATTGCCTTTCTATAATGTATTTACTGTTTTCCAAAGGTGCAAAGTGCTAAAATGCACAGTTTTTAATTACATTCTCAATTATAGAAACTATAATTATCTGCACTCTAAGTTGATTTAAGTACCCTCTATTGGCCTGGGTTTGCCACTACATTTCATTTTCTGGGACAGACTCATCTTTTTAAATGTTTAGTTTTGCATACCAGTATGTCCTTCACATAAAATTGCAAGATTTGTTGCATAATTTTTATCTTTAATAAAGATTTCAAATGTAACTGAATACTGATATCTTGAGTCAGATGTTTTACATACATTTGCTAAATGGGAAAAACTGGAAGTGCTCTAAAGTGTCAAAGTTTTGTCCTTTTTCTAGAGCAAACTGTGCCCTTTGTCGCCACAGAGTGAGGAATGTGTGTGTGTGTGTGTGTGTGATTAAGGGATTTTTCAGCATCTGCTGCCTGGAGCTCTTTGTGAACAAGAAGCGGAACTTTGTTGTCGAGGACTCTTTAGTGCCTTCCAAGTCAGCGTTTTGCTGTGCTTCTACAATGATAATGTGTACATCTTTTTGAGTGCATGTTTGTGTTTAACCAAGCTGTTTTGTGTTTGTAGGTGTATGTGCCGAGGCGGAATGCCCCGGGGAACAGCGCTGACTGTGCACTAGGAGTCTGAACCTTGTTTTTGGCTGAGGAGGAGAAGAAGGAGGAGGAGGAGACGGAGGAGAGGTCCTCCCCCCCCACAGCGTGCCGTGCCGAGCAGTGCTTGACGCCATGTCCCTGACTGACAAACATAAAGTAAAGAGACAGAGACTGGACCGGATCTGTGAAGGTAAATGGGTGTTTGCTGGAATATTTTCAAGGGCTTATTGCAAACCCAGTTGATTATTGGTGTTTTACTCTTTAGCGGTTTGACGGTTACGTGTATTGAAGTGGACAAAGATTTTAAAAAGTAATGCTTTTAAAATCTGCTGAAATGACCAACCAAACCACAGCTGTGGTTTAATAAACTGCAAGACAAAGTGGAGGAGTGTCAACTGTTTTTCTTGGCTGTGTGTAACAAAGCAGTGACTTCCCACCTGTTGCTGCCCCCTACCAGTCAGCTGGCTGAAAGCGGGCTTCTACATAGATTTGATAGTTTAAAGTACTTGTACCGGGGAGATGATGCTACCAACGACACTTTTAAATAACCAACTAAACGCATGTGAGTCATACAGGTCAGGCTGACAAAAAGACTAATAATCATCCCACTAAGCACAGAAAAACGGACAGATTGCTCTATTTTTGCCTTACAAGCATTTTTCAACAATGTTATATCTGAATTCTTCTACACAATCCCTAACGTACCTATTGAATCTGAGTCTTAGGTTGCCATGTCTACATTCTGTAAGCGCTTCTTCAGTTAAAGATTCCTTAAGTAGATCTGGGAGAGACTTAAAGTTTGCTGGGAAAACAGGAATAAGGGAGGGATAGTTTTTTCATAAATGCTTCCTATCTGATTTCCATTTTTATTTTTACAAATAGCAAATGTTTCTGTATTTATGACCTATCTTTTGCTGTCTTAAAGCCGCTTTATTGTGAAGAACTTTTGCTGCCTTTTCTGTTCTGAAAACTCATGTTTTTGTATCATTGTCATATTGTTAGCTAATAGATTTTGTTCTGCTTGGCTTGGCTTAAAATAGATGTTTATTTTTGAACAAGTAAGTACATGCAAAAAAACCAAAAGAATATTCACCAAACAGCAACATATACAACACTTTTTTTAAGGGCTAATAGGACCGATTATGTTAATTAGGGATGCACATCAAGTATTCTTGTTTGGTCACAGTTGTGATTATTCTGTTTGTATGCAAATTATTTGAAACTCGCAGGTATTTAATTAGATTCCTTTTGTGAAATGTCCACTCTCCTGTTGGCAACAGCAGGAACACAAAACATAGCATTATCATTTTGATAAATTATCCTACTTTTTTTTCTTTTATGGGGGGGCTTCTGATACATACATTTGCTTTTTTCCCTCTTGCTCTAACTTCTCTATATATCTTTGATTAACAAGGTACTTTGCTCAAAAATGAGCCTAAAGTACTCCCATGTAGTCTGCCCGACTGGAAAAAAAAAAAAAAAATTTTTCAAAGCATCCATCCATCCATCCATCCATCCATCCATCCATCCATCCATCCATCCATCCATCCATCCATCCATCCATCCATCCATCTAGTGTCTGAATAGGTGAATAACTGAATGAAGTGTAGACATCTTTTCAGTCCTCTGACTTTTCCTATTATTACTGTTTTTTTTTTACCATTTCGTCCAATTGGCACATTTTGGATTATTAATTACCAAGAAATACTTAATGATTCTAATTATTTTCTCCTGGCACACGGTAAAAGTTGTTGACCTTTGCAGCTTTGCAGAGATGGTAATGCTTCATTTGGTCCTTTTAATTTGACTTGTGGGTTATTAAGGACTTTCTCATTTTTGACTTACTGTTTTAGAGTATCCCCTTTTTGCGTAGGGGAAAAACTGCGTTTAAAGTCTCTTGAATGTACATTCTTTAAAACCACTTGTTTGCCTCAGCCTTGCACATTCGTGTGTGTTTGTCTGTGGCAGCCAGACGGAGTCCTGAGGAAAAAGCATCTCCACTCTACCGTCTAGGTCCCCAAGAGGCTTGTTAAGCCGCTGGGTCCTCCTGGAGCCGGTGCAGGGAGGAGGCAGACATAACCGCGGTGCTGGAAAATGAAGCTAGACGCTCCATTACCCCCAGTGCCAGCATATTTGTTTTGTTACATGATGCAAGCGCCTTAGTGTTGGTGCACTTGAAATGAAGGGCACATGCCACACTTCATCTATAGGCTCATAAACTGGTCCTAGAAACTCCTTATGGGTATCACAGAATAATGTTGAATCTTTACATAGAGTGCTGGTTTGTATTTTATTGGGATTTTATGTGATAGACCAGAACAAAGTTCTGGATAGTGGTAAAGAGGAAGGCATTTAATGCTTGGTTGTCTTTTTTTTTTTTATTCATGTAAGCATACTTCCCTATTTACTAGAGAACATTTATAGACAAAAATCATAAAAATATTCTTTTTTGATGGAAGCATTATGATGGAAGCATTATGGTGTAGAGATGCTTCTTTTCAGTTGCAAAGAGAATTGATAGTATACAATGGCGACAGTGGCGTTGGATGTAGGAGTTTGCCCTGAAATCGAAGGGTTGACGGTTCAAGCCCCGACTCCGACTTTCAGTGTCGTTGTGTCCTTGGGCAAGACACTTCACCTGCATTGTCTACTGATGGTGGTCAGAGGGCCCGGTGGCGCCAGTGTACGGCAGCCCCGCTTCTGTCAGTGAGCCCCAGGGCAGCTGTGGCTACAATGTAGCTTGCCACCATCAGTGTGTGAGTCTGTGCGTGAATGGGTGAATGAATGTAGTGTAAAGCGCTTTGGTCAAGTCTCCTAACTTAAATAAAGGCGCTATATAAGTACATACCATTTACATGGATCTAAATTCAGGGCAATCCTGGGAGAAGAGGTATTGGAGGTGAAAAAAATAACTTTAGACTCTAGGGAGCAACAGGACGGACCTACAGCTAAGACCAGAGTGGAATGGGTTAGAAGTGACATTCACTGAGACATTCTATGCTGTTCATGTTGGAAGTGATGAAGTATGTATACGGTATTTTACTTAATCAGACCTTTATTATAATGATGCATTTGGCATTTTATACTGACAAATTATTGACTTATTATAACTGCATCATACTATTAGATCATGATGAGTTTAGAGTCCAGTAAAAATCAGATAGTAACATTATGAAAGAGGTCTTCAATATTTCATAGCGCAGGTGTTTGCATTTTATAGCGGGAATCCCTCTTGATTAGAAGGGCTGTTAAAGTCCAGCTGTTGGATTTGTATGCATCAGACACCCGAGACAGTTAGTCATTTCTGTGTTTGCTGCGTTTGGGTGTGTGCTAAAGCCTGCTGGGAGACCTTAACAGGTGGTGTGACTGTGCAGCTGCAGGCAAAGGTTTGTGATTTGACAATGAATGTAACGGTTTTCTGGACTGAATACTTCCAAAGGGTTTTTTTCACCTTACTTAATTACATTTTGAAAAAAACAGGAAACATGACTTGATTATGAGGTAAATGTAAAAAAGGGACTTAAATAGCAATGAACAGGTAGGCGTGCTGGCTTGAAGTATGTGAAGCCATTAGAAAAAATTTCTAATAATATATTGTTATTATTATTATTAAAGCTTTGAATTAACAATGAAATATACCATTGAGATTACAAAATCTATACTTAAAAGAGAGCTGCCATACAATTAATAAATAGAAAAATGGTTGCTAAATATAACTTAATATATAAATAGCATGCACAAAAATTGCCTAAAAACAGTTTGTAAAATACCAAACTAGATTTATGGCCATTAGTAATGGTTTGCAGTAAAACCTAGAATTTGGCTATTTTTTTAATCAGAAATGGGTTTAATCAGAGATGACATACATACAATGTATGACAAAATAAAAATGGTGGGAAATTTCCATGTTTGTAGATGGTGCCAATATGTGCCAACTTTTGCCTGTTGACAAAATACCTAAGTATATACCTAGGTATAATAAAACCACTATAAATTAGCTTAAGTTTACCTCAGCTGCCTACATCTTTGTACAGGTAATGTGGATTTAGGGTTTCCAAATATTTATAGCCTTTTACAGATTTCTAAAAGGTCTATTGAGGGACAAAAATTCTTCTTTTTTCTATTTTCTATCCCTATTATCTCTTTGAAAAAAACAAACAAACAAACAAACAAAAACAGGTGTTTTGATACTTACATTTCTGATCAAATCTCCCAAAGTTTTTGTTTAATTTTAATTCCAGATTTATTCAAATACAGCTTTTAATTGGTGAAAAAAAAAAAAAAACGTAATTAGATTGCAGCATGTATTATGAACACAAACTTCATTAGAACACTTGGGACCTTAGAGGTTAAGAAAATATGTTACAGAGGCTTACTTACTGTTCATCAGGACAAGGTCTAAAATGATAAATCTGACTGTAATGCTTGAATAAACAAATACAAACACAAAAAGCTCTCCAGATGGCCGTCATAAAGAATCAAAGAACCTGTCTTGCAGCCACTTTGGTGAGGCTGTAAAAAAAGAAAAAAAGGAAAAAGAAAAAAGAAGAAGCCAGCTTGTGGTTTGTTCATGAGCCAGTGACCAGGAAGAGTTGTCCCTCCTAATGCATGTCTCGGCCTGATAAAGCTGCCATGGTGATTGTCATGGAGCAAAGGGGGAAACACAAATAACGCAATCTTTTTCTTTTAGTTTCATGCAGTGTTAAAATCCTCACACTAAAATAGAGTCACTATTGACTTTTGGTTAGCAAACATAGAGTAGATCTAGTCTTAGTTCTTACAATCTTCCCACAGTTTTTATTTTTCCACATGCAAATCTGGAATTAGCATATTGTCTGCCGTATTTGTTGGATCATATGTTACCTAAATAATAAAATGCTGTTCTCATTACAATGCAAAGAGGACCTTTATGAATTTAAACAATAGCTTCAGCCTAATTATTCGTTGTGGTTGTTTAATATCAGAATTTGTGGCTGTTGGATCATAAATGACGTATCTGAGAAGACCCGGTGGGTAGATGACAAGGCTGATTAAGCCATTAAAGTGCTTCATATCTATTTAGCAGATTCTGGTTGACTGGAAATAGGAAAACTGATTTGGAATATTTTTTATCAAATGTGGCTCAATCAAAGGCGCTGCTGGGAA